AAAGCGGCGGGAGCGGCGGTTCCCCGCGCTTCTGAGGCTTTGCTCTGGCAAAGCCTCAGAAGCGCGGGAACCCGCCCGGTGCCTCTGGTCTGCTGGAGACGGTCTCCAGCAGACCAGGGGCACCGGAGCAGCTTTCGAACGGGGCTTTCTCACCCCGGAGCTCGCAGGTAGCAATCCGCCACCTCGACCTCCGGGGCGAGAAAGCCCCGTTCGTAAGTGCGGATCCGACATAAGTCGGATCCGCGTAAGTCGGGGACTGCCTGTATTCATTAGGAAAGATTAAAGGTTTATGGAACTTTATCAATGAGGTGATATGTGATCTACCTGCACTAAAAATACAGATTAAGACTAATGTACTAAATTGGAAATGAAAATTGGTCATGTTGACTTTTTTAAAACAACTGAAGTGTTTATAATGTGATCCATGTCAAAGACACACTCCTTTTACCTTTCAGGGAAGTCTGTCCTTACTGTTATAGTTAATCAGAAGAAACATTTATTTGATCATTGCCCACTGAAATGTAGCTTTCAGTGGGGACAAAACCAGGAATTTTCATGTGTAGTGTTAAGTGAATTTGGCAGAGAATTACACATTCTAGGGTGATATTCTGTAACCCCTCTCCAGATAAAAAACAATGACAGGCCACAGGTTGTAGAAAGTCAGCTACTTCTTTCGTTGTTCCTAACATTGAACTGAAATTTATAGTATTGTTGCTAGAGGGGAAAAAAACTGCTTAATCAAAATGGTCTAAAGTGCTGGTGTGAACCACACCCACTAGGTGGGTGGGTTACTGCCCCATGTAGTAGCACTTAGACCACTGTGAGAGATAAGAATGAGTGAGCTCCACAGCCTAAGCTGAGAGCCAGCTGGCTTTATAGCTCAAGTTGTAGAGGCTCCTACATTAAGCTCCAGAGGTCCCAAATTTAAATCTGCCGATAGGAGGTTACACTGGCAAAGTTGCTCAGCATAGTGGTTAGCAGGGTATTATCACTGTATAAAGCCATTCTAGAGAGGATGGATATTCCTCTCCATTTTCTTTCTAATCTGCCTCATAACGTTAGTATCTGAGTGCCTGAAATTGTTACCGGGCCACGTTGTCCCACTGAACTTTGATTCTAGATACTAAGGCTGAGAATTTGAAAAGGAGCTGAAGAGAGAGATCATTGGGAGCTGGATGTCTTTAACTCCATTCGGCATATTTAAAAATATCAGCATAAATCTCTGGGGATATGTCTACGCAGCAGCATTATTTCGGAATAACTAATAACTAATGTTATTCCGAAATAAGAGAGAGCATGTCTACATACAAGCCTTTATTTAGAAATAATGTCGAGCTGGAGGACTTCTTACTCTGACTCCTGGTAACGCTTATTTCATGAGGAGCAAGGGAAGTCGAAGGAAGAGTGTTCTTTCCTTCTACTTCCTGCTGTGTAGACAACACCTAAAGCCAAGTGAAGCTATTTCAACTTCAGCCACACAACTGACTAGCTGAAGTTGTGTAGTTTAATTTAACTTTACCCCTGCTGTGTAGACGTATCTTGGGTAACCGGAGGGCCATCCTTCAGTAACATGTATGGTTTCAGCTTACACGGTTCTGTTCATAGACTTTTTATCACCAGATCAAGTTCTGGAGTGCTTGCTCCAGTAAACTCGATGAAAGCCACTCTCATAGTCTATGACTGAACTTGGCTTCCAGTGCAAAACAACAGAAGGGCTGTGTCTAGACTGGCAAGTTTTTCTGCAAAAGCAGCTGCTTTTGTGGAAAAACTTGCCAGCTGTCTACACTGGCCACTTGAATTTCCGCAAGAACACTGACGATCTCATATAAGAAATCAGTGCTTCTTGCGGAAATACTATGCTGCTCCTGTTCAGGCAAAAGTCCTTTTGCGCAAAAGCTTTTGCACAAAAGGGCCAGTGTAGACAGCTCAGATTTGTTTTGCACAAAAAAGCCCCGATCGCAAAAATGGCAATCGGGGCTTTTTTGCGCAAAAGCGTGTCTAGATTGGCACGGACACTTTTCCGCCAAAAGTGCTTTTGCGGAAAAGCATCTGTGCCAATCTAGATGCTCTTTTCCGCAAATGCTTTTAATGGAAAACTTTTCCGTTAAAAGCATTTGCGGAAAAGCATGCCAATCTAGACATAGCCAAGGAGTTTAGTTATAGGAATAAAAGACACAGGACTCAGATGTGATTTCTGGTTTTGGTTTCTCCCCCTCCCCCTCCCCCCTTCCATTTTAGATACTGCAACAAGGCCTTCAGCCCATAAAGGGAAGCTTTCTCCAGGTTTCTGAGTTAACAGACCAGATAGCACAACATGCCAAAGCAGCCACACAAGCAGTTCTCTCCGACAAGGCGCATCCTCTCCAGAGGATATCTTATTTGGAAAAGATGTTGCAGATGAAATCCGATGAATTCAAGGTAGTACTCTGGATAATACATTTTCTCACAATACAGTTTTATTCTTCAACAAAACCGTGTGGTTCCTGGACTGAAATTCAGTTTGAATTAGTACTCAGTGAAATCTGAATGATAGCATCAGCTGAGTTATAAAAGAGAAATAAAGTCCTGGGGAAACAGGTTGGTTATACTATCATCATTGTGCCTGTTATGATGTGTTCCCTCCGTTTCAATTGTTTTCCCCTTCCACACATGCCCTGCTTTGTCACACACTTGTAAGCTAGGCTGCTAATTTGGAGAATGGATGGATCTTAATGTCTTGGTGCATCATCCCAGTCCAGTGTTTTGAAACTCACATTGTTTCCTGAGGGTGATGTCTCTGATTCTCGATACCACATACAGCCTCTTCCCAACTTACAAACTGGTTACAGACCAAGCAATTGGTTGTAATTCAGTTCGTTCGTAAGTCGGACCCCATAGTTACACACGACCACGTTGTTCATGAGCACGGATCACATTTGTAACTCGGGGTCCGCCATTTACGACAGCTTTGGTCGTAACTGTGAGCGGTCGTAAGTCGACCGTTCGCAACTCGGGGACCGGTTGTATAAGCTTTGCTTGTCGTGTAATGTAGTTTTATTTAATTTCTATTTGTGTAGTCATTTTCTCTTATGTAATTTTCTGGTCTTATCACAGATTTTTTTTTTTTTTTGTCATTGTCATTCATTCCTTACACAACAGTAATTTCAGAGCTCTCAGAGACTCCTCCTTGGCACAGTTCACTCAACCCAGAATTTGGGGAGGGAAAAGGAGACTCCCCCAGTGACTCTAAACTCCTCCCTCAAAAATCAGTGTCTAAACTCCTGCCTCAAAAAACCCTGTCTGTATTTCTTATGCTCTGACGGCGCCAGATGGGAGTTACTAGAATCCAGATAATGCCCACAAATCTGTCTACAGGAGCAAATGGGATCAAACTCTCCATATAGCTGATAATGGAGCAGCACCATTTTCATGAACTTCCGGCTGTCTGAGTAGCTGTGCCTTGGCTTCGTAATTTCACTCTAAATCATAACATTCCTGGTAGTAAATCTCTGCACAGCATGTCTGCCCTGTTACTCTGAGATGCATGTGGCGCTCTCAGGATTCACAGGGTTGGAGGTTCTACTCCTGACATGTGTGTATGTTGGATTAAATCCTCCTCCTCTTCCTCCTCACTGGAAAAATTGGGAGGAAACTCCATAAGTCAAACCTTGCAGCATTTACCACCTTTTGTTAAGTCTGAGGCAGAGCTGATAAACAAGCCCAAATTTCTCAAGTTCCACACCAGGGTTTTAACCACAAAACCATCTCTCCATCTCTAGCGAGTTATTTCTCACTTTGATGGGGAACAATCGTGTCACTGTACGCAATGAAGTGGTTTTTTTTTCATTTTCACTTTATTATCCTTGTTTTTTCATTATCAAAGAAAATTCTTATGCTGTGGGAAAACAGCCATTAATTTCTAGAACTATAAAACCAATAACAGGAGATCAAGGCAAAATATTTACTCTAAAATGCAAGGACATATTCCAAAGACAAAATCTAGAAAAAGAATATAAATAAGCAAGGTTTAGCAACAGATATAAATATTAACTACAAATACACCAGTTACTCTAATCTAGCAGCTCTTTACATAAAAATACTGTTTACTGTGTATTACTCTTTTGCTCTTATTTAATATATATAGAATCATAATAGATGAATTAAAACTGATTATAATAAAAATAATTTCTCATCTTAGTTCAACCTTTTACAATTGGAGGATTTCAAGAATTGTCTGGACACAGTGGAAGCTCAAATTAAGTCACCTGTAGAAGCTTTGGATCAGCTGCATGCACAAGGAAAAGAAGACGACTCAGAATTGCTCATGGTATGTGCTGGTCCTATGACTAAATCAGGGGTGGGCAAAATAACGTCCATGGGCTGGATGTGACCAGCTAAACGTTTTCCTCTGACCTGCCATGACCCTCCCATTCGGGACCAGAGGCCTAGTGGGGCACCGAGTAGCCTGCCTTCCTACTATAGCCTGAGCCATGCTGATCCTGGAAGCACCACGGCCAAAGGCTGCTGGCAAGCCTGTCTCTGCGCACCCCTTGCGGGGAGGGTGGCAACTGGGTGGTGCTTGCATGCGCACGCAGCACTCCAAGGCTCACTTCCCCTCCTCCCCCCGAAGAGGCACACAGACACACATTTGTTTGCCAACAAGCTGCTAGCAGCTTTGAGCAGCATGGGTCCACCGTGGCATGAATGCGCCACTGGCCGAGATCTGCCTACGCTAAGCACTGCCCAGCGAGAGCCAGAGCCTGCACCTTGAAACCCCCCTGCACCAAAAGACCCATTCTGCACGCACCCAAGCTCCCTCCCAGCCTCTGCACCTCCTACACCTTTGCCCCTTGTCAGAACCCAATCCTACACCCAAACTCCATCCTAGACCCCATTAATATAATAGAAAAGTGCGGCCCGTGACCATTTACCAAAATTCTTGGAGTGGCCCTCCTGCAAAACGTATTGCCCACCCCGATGTAAATTATGCATATGGAAGAGTGTCTGTTGGATACTTATTCATGTAGTATTAAAGGTACATACTGTAGTTTAATCATTGTAACTGTTACATGCACAAAAACCACATTAAAAACATTAATATGGCAAAGTCAAGCACTCAAAAGTTAGGAAATGCCAAAATTGAAGTTGCCTATGCAACTTTAATTTGCCCCTACGTCCATATCCATTATGTTACAGTCTTCAATTTCCTACTCACATGCATTTTTTTTCCCCAAAAGCCCCAACTTATTTAGTACAGAACTCTACTGCAGAATCAGGGATAGAATACAGTTGTCCATTCAGCTGCCTTAACAAAGAGACACTCCTTCCTCTTCCTGTAGTCCCCTGGTTCATTCACTACATATTTCCAACTTGTGCAACAAAAAAATCAGAGGTCCTACAGACAAGTTTTCTTCAGTAAATTACCCTGATGGATCCTGTGCAAAGAATGAGATAGGGGTCATCTTGGAAAAAATAGTATGTATCCGTGTAATTGAAGATTCTATTGCAGTGCATGTGGAAAAGGGAGTCAAATTAAGGTTACACAGGCAACCTCAATGCTGAGGGATTTCCTAACTTTTGAGTGTTTGACTTTGCCTTCTTAATATTATTAACATAGAATCATAGAATACTAGAACTGGAAGGGACCGCGAGAGGTCATCGAGTCCACTCCCCTGGTCTCATGGCAGGACCCAGTACTGTCTAGATCATCCCTGACAGATGTTTATCTAACCTGCTCTTAAATATCTCCAGAGATGGGGATTCCACAACCTCCCTAGGCAATTTATTCCAGTGTTTAACCACCCTGACAATTAGGAAGTTTGACTTGAAGAAGTCAATGAGCACACGTACTGATTTTATTTTCCAATAACTTTTTATTTGGCCCATATTTTCATGGGGGGTGGCAAAAGGTACCCCTCTGCCAAATTGCTCGTCCTTTCTCCAAGGCATAGGGTTACTAGAGCTTTTCAAAGAAAAGGCCATCAAATTCTTAACATGGGCAAAACATATTTTTCCCAGCCTCATTCTTTGAAATGGCTAAATCATTTTGGCTGAAAGTTGCTGCCTCCCCCCTCCCCCCCCCTCAAAAAATCAGCATGAGGCAGACAACCCATATGGAGAATTCCAGTTTGAAAGGCTGATAATGTAGACAGTTATAGAATGGGAAGCATCTGGTAATTTTAGTAATATGCAGTGCCAATATCCCTACCTATAATGAGGCCAAGGGCTTAATGCTTCCATGAAGTCTGAATAAATGTACAATCAGTGTTCCAGTAGAGAAATTGGTCATTAAACTAACTTTAAGGGTATTGAGAAACTAAGCATTTAAATTTTAGTGACTTCATTGTGGGGTTTATGCTACTTTTGACAATAAATACATAATTTCGAAAAGAATCTTGACAAATATACATAAAACTATTCCAAATAAACTATCTATAAACCTAAATTTCTGTATTATGTAAAATGATTTAAACTTAAGCGTAGCAAATTATCTATGTCCAGTGTCATGATGTAAAATGCAGGCTTTCTCTCTTCACAAGCATTGGAAAGGAGCAGGCTTGTTAATTTTAATTGCTAAGCAGAAGATGGTTCTTTGTCACTGAAATATTTCTAAGGAAATCAGAAATGCAGTGGACTATTTTATTTGAAGAGCTGTATATCAGAATAACTGAATCCCCAGAGCAATATAAACATGAGTTACTTTTAAAAAGGAATCGAAACGATGGACTGGAGGCCGAATTTTAAAAGATGCGGGAAACCTGCTGGATCTGGGGATGGTGTAATTCCCCCTCCTCAAAGCTCTCTATGAAGTTTAAGCCCTGATATTTATGGATCCTATAAAATGTGCTTTGCCTACCCCTTTACTACTTCCATGAATGAGGATTTGGAAGATGTTTCTGCCTTTTCTTCCAAAGAATTGTGCAAAGGAAGCTTGAAAATTGAAAACTCTTTTGTTTCCTATCCTCACTCCTGGAATAGCACATGGAAAGATGACACAGCCCAGTATGAACTAGCTTTTGAATACCTAACTATGCTTTTTGAAATTCACCACCTTCGTCATGACCCTTTGAACCTGAGCATAAGGCATTGGTTACATTGTATTGTAAAACATTACAGAAAAGACATTTTCTGGAAGAAAGTTGATGTTTCTGTCAGTTGTTCTGTTCCATTATTTGCAGAGCCACATGTTAGAGCTGGCAGCAATGTCTCCTGACATCGAGAATCTGAATGAAGTGAGCGTTAAGCTACCACTCAGTGACTTCACCGTGAAGCAACTACAGAGCCTGAAACGACAGTGGATTCAGAAAACAACAGCAGCCCTGGAGCATTTCAGGTCAAAAAAATAATCACAATACTTCTCCCCAACTGTTTTAGTGTCCATGAAGCAAATTAAAAGCAAATTAAAATATTTTTCACTGGCTGGTTTCCAGCTTTCCAAGAGGCTTTTAAAAAATAATTCCTCCATTTTAAAGTAAATTAAAATATATCATTTTGTAAAAATAGTTTAAGTTGTTTGGAGCTCAAGGACCATGTTTTAGGATGTGCTTGGGCAAAGACTGGAAAATATACAATAATAGAATAGTTCCCATATTTTTTCTTTTAACAGAACATTTGAAGGAATTGAAGCAGACGAAAAGAAGCTTCTTCAGAAATGTAAAAACTGGTTACAATCTCTAGAAAAGATGAAAGAGGCTTTAAAAGTGAATATTTCTGGCAGATTTGAAAAGCTTCAGGAACAACAGAGAATATATGAGGTACTGAAGATTTAAACTGGGCTTTTAAAAAAATCTTTAAAATATATATTTGCAAAGAGTTACTATGGGTGGTAATATAAACAGCAGCAGTCTGTGCAGTATATATATGGATTCCACTCAAAGTGTGCATAATGCAGATTATACCTTGGGAACATTTAATTGGGGCAAGGCTGAGTGGATACTTGTCTCCACAAGAATTTGTCTGTAAATACTAAATACCATGCATTGCAAGTTTAGCACACAGAGACAGGGTGTCACCTGGAATTTTTTCTAATTAGTAGTTGTGCATCTAATTCCACAAACATTATGCTAAACATTTACTACTTTATGTTAAATTTGTACTCTATAGGCCATATGAGCCAGATTCTGCTCCATATTCACATATGAAGCCATTCAAGAATGGCTATTCCAGAATAATTTAGTGTGTAGTCAAGCCCTTCATAAAGTTTGTTTTTTAAATGCCCATCAGTTAATGAACTAATATTGTTGTTTTTTGCAATGTTTGCAGAAGCTGCAAATGGAGATTTCTGTAAATGATCAGATTTTTAATTCTGTCATATCAAAAGGGTTCTATTCACTGGGAACAGGAGAAGCAGAAAAAAGGTAAAAACAATTTTTTTCCTAGTTTTCACCAGGGTCATGTACGGAAAAGGCCAAGCAGGAGTGAAGCCCCCATGCCCTTCCCCAATCATTGGCAGGGAAACAGAACTCCTCTGGCCCCAAGGCTGTGGCGAGGATGGAAGAGCTCTGTGACCCCCACTACAGCCAAGTGCTTGTAAATGTATTTATTCAGATGGCTCATGGATTTTCAGTGAAATGGTGTGTGTGCTACTGTTTACAGGAAACCCCCAAGTTGTGACCGCCCAACTTGTGACCCCCCTGCACTTAAAGTTCAGAAGGGGCCAAAAAACCCCAACTTATGTCCTCAGCCCACATTGACAAAGGTGCACGGCACCTGTCATCAATGAGGGTTTGAGTTACGACGCCCCCGATGTGCAACACTTCCCCGGGAACCAATCACGTTGCAAGTCGGGGGTCGCCTGTATTTCTATGCGTATGATGTATCTGTGTGTGTTCATATAGTTCAATGTGTAAAATTTATGTTTGTCTAATGTGCCCCTCCAAAAGGAGTCAAATTTAAATTCCTGCATGTACCGCTGGGTCTTAGAAAAAGGTAATGTTAGTGATTCAGTAGGATACATGCTTCCCTCCCAGTCAATACTGGACCACCCTTAACTATCATGTAAAAGAGACTTTTAAACCCAAGACCAAACCATGAGTATTCATTAGAGCCTGTGGTACATCTTGCAGAAGTGGAGATGTGGGCACCGGTGTCCTGGCCAAATTTTCTTTTGGGTAATAACTACATTCTGCCTAGCAGAAAAACCAAAAATCCACGTGTAGTGTATTTTGGGATAAGATATTCTTCACTTCCTACCCTATCTGTTAGGCGCTGTTAGAGGTGTTGTGTTTACATCTGAGGTGGCTATATTTTGTGTGCAAATTCTCCTCCCGCCCTGCAAGGGAGCACCATGCTTAGAGTCAACCGCCTGCTGAGCAGCAGCGGGCCGTTGACTTTTAAGTGCCAAGCCCCTTGCAGGGTGGGAGGAGAATTTGCGCACACTGCCCTGCCCCCCAGGACAATCAGGACTGGGGCTGTAGGGAACACACGAAGTCTCCTCCTGCCCTGCCAGGAGCACGTGGCGCTTCTTAGCATGGTGCATTACTGGCAGGGGGGGAGAAGACTTTGTGCACTCACCCCACCCCAAGCCCTGATTGGCCTGGAGGAGGGGGGACCATATGAAGTCTCTTGCTCCCTTGCCTCTGGTGCATGGTGCTTAGAGTCAATCTCCAGGCTTAATCTGTAGGCCCTGATGGGCTTGGGGGCAGTGGAAGGACCTCTGTGGGTAGGATCAAACTGTTTGATGGGCCAGATCCAGCTCAGGGAGGCCATTTTTCCACCTCTGCTCTGAGGCATCATTGGACTATCCAAAAATGAAGTGTTTGGACCAATGTTTCCTCTAATCACCAGTGATGTTGTGCTGCTGCGCAGTTTAATCAGCCCCACCCAGTCAGAGGCTCAGGGATCCCTGCAGGGAGCCGACTGACTGGGTGTGGCTGATAAAATCACCCGTGAAGCTGTGATGCTTCACTGCTTAGAAGGAACACTGGTTTGAACCCATTTTATGAGGATGGGTTGAAAATTCTACAGCTTGTTGATGTAGAACAGGCAAAAGCATCTCATGGTACAAACCAAAACTGGTTTGAATGGGTGCAGCACTACAGGTTTTTTTGTAATATAGATGGGCACTAAGGTTCCACGTGCGCTACAGGACAGTGGTGACAGGAGGCTGTTAGAGCATTGCTAAAGGGGAGCTCCATTTTGCAGTGTAGTTGCTGCCAGTAATGACTTCCATCCACTTCAAGAATGCATTTGGAACAACTTAATTCTGGGTCTAGCCGTACCACGCACTGTTATGCCATAACAGAAAAACTCTCGTGTTCTTGTATCATTTTATAGTTTTCTGTCACACACAAGTTCTGACACACAGAGAAGGCTTGAGTTTATGGTGCTCCATTTTGGTTGTTGATATGGTTTCAAGGTGACAATGACATTCTGTATTAACACTCCAATATCTGTCCTCTTCAGAACGGAGTTTATTTCCACAATCACGCAACTAAAGGAGGAGTGGCAGGGTGTTATCCGCAGGGTTCAGGAGAGGAAGAAAGATATTGATGGACTTGTGAAGCAATGGCAGCACTTCAGGGTTTCTCAGCAGAATCTCACAAATGTTCTTACTTGTACAAGTAATTTCATAGCTGCTGTGAAGAGCCAGGACAGCTACAGCCTCTATCATCTTAGGAACCTAATTCACAATCTCAAGGTCATATTTTTATTTCTTAGAAAAAAATAGATTATCAGTGATTTTTCAGATTGCTTTTAAGATCCTTCCATTATTCTGAATATATATTTCAGTCACTTTTCGCACACAACAAATTGCTGATTTCTTTATTTTAATGGGACAGTTTCATTACAACTTGCTTTGATGTAGGTGTGGAAATCCACAATAGACTCCTAAAAAAAAGTTTATGATATGGAAGCTAGATACTGTTATAAGTGACTCTGACCTGATGAAAAGTTTCAAAGGTTCTCAGCAAGTTTTCACTAAAGCACATAGATTATGCCTGCCCATAATATTGCAGAAAGACAGTCCTGTTTCCTTTTGCTTGTCTTCATCTGAATGACCTCTCTGAGTAAATTTTCAAAATGCCAGTAATTCATGAGGATTTACTGTAAATGGGATGTTTTATGTTAATGGGAACATTGTCAACTGAACATTAATAGCTTAAGTTACCAGAAGCAACAAGGAGTACAGTGGCACTTTAAAAACTAATAAATTGATTAGGGTATTATTACAATTTGTTTTGTAGCAAAAAAATAACTTTAAGTTGAATTATGAACCAAAACCAGAATCTCTTGCTTGGTTAATAGAGCAGCACTGTCCAGGATTTCTGGGTAGAGATGCTCTTAAAGTTTAATAGTTTAAAGTTTAATTGGAATCTGAGTTTAAAGTTGAACATTGTATGATTTGAAGCCGGCATTAGATTTGGTAATACTGAATAATTTTTTGCTTTGAGGAGAAATATTCCATTACAGAGAGTAAGACCTGATTCTGCCAACCTTTCTCACGTCCTGTAGTATCTCACTATGGGAGTAAACCCCATAATAGTAAGGGGTCTTGCTCGTGTAGACATGGCATTGTTCGCTATGTTGCATACTACTGTGGTTTTCACTTGTCCCTGTCGATAGAGCCGGCCCAAGGTATGGGCCAACCGGGCTACCGCCCAGGGCACCCCATTGTAGGGGGTGCCACACGGGGTTGCTGGGCTGGGTGGGGGCGGCACCGTGCATGCTCTGCGCACCTGGGGCGGTGCCACGCATGTGCCGGGCGCCCGGGGGTGGGGCCGCACATGCGTCTCACTCCCGGGGGGAGCGCCACGCTCCTGAGGCCTGGGGCACACAAATGGCTCGGGCTGGCCCTCTTGATAGTAGGAAAACTTTTAACATAGACATGGCCACAATCGTAGTTATGGAATAACCACCACATAATTTCTGTCATTTAGTGTCTTGTTTATGACTAGAAGCATGAGAGCTCATATTCCTTACTAAAAATATATCTGATATAGTCCAACTGTGGATCTTTTTATTATCTATATAAATGTCTAAGTTGCACTGAACTCTTTGCCTCAATGATACTTTCAGCCAATGAGGTCCACAGATTATGTACTAAGTAAAAAAATATTTTTTATTGGTTTTTAAACGTGTTGCCTTTCAGTTGAATTGAATATTCTCTTGTATAATAATGAAGGTTAACAGGCGTACCAAACTGGCCTCTGTATAAAGCAATCAGAAAATTGATTCATTATCAGATTACTCTTTCTGCAGACACAATCCATTAACGTTAGGATCAAAGACTATTATCAATGTTAAGACTTTCAGTATGTCACTCCTGTGTAGCTAGCCTCAATTTTTTTCATGTTTATTTTCTCCTGCTGTTTAAGGTGACTGTCAGAGACTATTATAGTGCCTGTTTTTACTCCTTTATGGTGTAAAAAGACCAGAAATTCTGGCTTTTATGGGTATTTTTATGCTTGTTCTTTAGCTTAGAAATAATAGGAATGTTAACTCTCATTTTCCCTATTTTGGATGGAGATCTTGTTAGGGTTCACAGAGGAGGTATCTTGTTAGCTTACTTTACTGAAAGGTGGTGTTCAGTCTCTAACAAAGACATTCTTTCTCCAGTATGCTTCTTAGTCATTGAAGTTAAAGAGTTGTTATGAAACCAAATATTTTATTAAACCTTTCACTTTTTACCTGTATGAATAAGAATCCCCTCTTCTTTCAATTGTTCCATTTTTATTCTCTTGGTCTAATCCTTTAACTCATAATAAAGTCATCATAGCATCTTGTAGGCTCAAAGCAAACAGGAAAAAAAATACAAGTTTGGGGGAGGTACGAATAACAAAAAGTAAAATCCATTTTTTTTCTCCTTTTGTGGGTCATCTTTTAAAAAGTGAAATACTGAGCAGGTTTGGTCCCTAATCCCAAAGCTGAGATTTAGAATGTTGTGGTTGGTTTTTTTAGAACAAGGAAATACTTCTTCAGAGGTGGCAAACCACATACTCCCTTGCTGTCAATAGTGGGGAAAAGTTACTTAAAAACACAGACCAGGAGACCAGCGCTGTAATACAAGATGAACTCAGCCGGTTACAGGAGAATTGGAACGATGCCCAGCTTCAAGTGGAGAAGATCACGAAGCAGCTCCTCGGCACTGCGCAGGTACTTGACAGGTATTCTCTCAGGAGGAGAACACCCTGAGAAGTTTGCATGTGCCTGTTCCCATGCAGGGGGAGCTCCATGGCAGCTTGATCAGTCCTTAGGACAAGCAGGCTAATGCAGTAGAGAAACGCTGTGAAGCAAGTGCCCAAGGAACCCCAGAAAGAGTAGCAGCTTCCCAGCTCTTTGATTGCCATTCTATGAATCCTAACCTGTCTTTGTCCTGTATGCAGCCCCTGAACAGGCTATTAAGCAACTGGATTGTAGTAACACTCACAAATAAGCTTACAGGTTGGAGATAGTAGCATTCAGGGACAGAGCCCCTGCCACCAAGTGCCTTTGATTGGGAGGGTGAGGTATCATGGTGGCTTTATTGTTCCCCACCTGTCCATCTCAGTCAGTGGCCTCTAATCTCAAGGGACAGCTCCATTCTGAAGTTATCAGAAGTCTCCCATGTGCCTTGCCAATGAAGCATCACTCTTTCAATCCAAGAGACTCTGATGATGCATTCTGACTCCACTTGAGATCACACGCACCCGCTCCACCATTGCGTATCTGGGAAGGCCAAAGTTATGGGCTATTATATCTCCATAGAGAGGGGTTGGGTTGCAGTGTCTTTCCCTCCCTCCTCTTTTGGATTGCAGTAGTGCTCTGTGGCCAGAGAGCCTGGCTAGGTTCTGGAACTCTTCTCATGCTTGTCAGCCTTGAAGCACCTGGGTGAGAATTTCGGCCAAATATGATACTCACACTTCTTTACTCTCTTTGGCTACGTCTACACTGCAGCGCTATTTCGGGATACCAGAGGTATCCCAAAATAGCTATTCCGTGTCTTTTGAGCACGCCCGTTATTTTGTTATATAACGGGCTCGCTATTCTGACATTCCTGTTAACCTTATTCCATGAGGAGTAAGAGACATTTCGGAATAGCGACTTATTTCTAAATAAATGCTGCGTAGATCACACCAAATTTCGAAATCAGCTATTTCAAAATTGACTCAAAATACGCTATGCTATTTGTATAGCTCAAATTGCGTAGCTTATTTTGAGCTACAGGTCCAGTGTAGATGCACCCTTAGAGTAGGTGCAGACTACGTCAGAGGCCATAATTCTCTCATCATACCCACCTCCTGGGAAAATCAGGGTTCGATCCATGGGCATATTTCTTCCCCATAGTGAATTTGTGTTTCAAAGCATAACAACTTCATATCTAACTATGCCATCAGTTTAATTGATCCCCAGCATAATTTAAAACTGTTCTCCATCGAATCTTAGTTTGTATAAAAGGAGATGTGAACCTCTTGAGCTAAAATGCACTTCAAGGCAAACATTAAATACGAGAGGGCTCAATTCTCTCCTTAATCCATGAATGAAATTCTTATTAGGGACAGTGAACATGCACTAGGAGGGAAGTCCTAATGATCAGTCCTCTAAAATACAAGGGTAAGTCAAAAAGTATCCGCAAAGTGTTCATATTTTTTTTTTCAATTTGCCCAACTGCTGAATTCACGCGCAACCGTAAGCAAGGAACCTCCCTCTTTTATAGTGACATATTTGGCCTTGACGGTTCAGATACCTTTCACCACTAGTGGGGTCAACATGGCCGCTCCGCTTACCACATGCACCAAAGAAAATCAGCGTGCGGTGATTCAATTTTTGTGGGCTGAAAGTATAAGAGGTGCGGAAATTCATCGAAGACTATCAGCACAGCATGGTGACAGTGTTTTGCCACAGCGAAGCGTGTACGAATGGATTGACATGTTCAAAAATGGCCGAACAAGTGTCACTGACGAAAAATGATCAGGGCGCCCATCCACATCGACTACTGAACGGAACATTGAACAAGTCCGCATGCTGATTCTTGAAAACAGGAGGGTGACTGTCGAAGTGGCAAACCTACTGCAGATTAGTCGTGGTTCTGCCTATGAAATCATTCACCACAAACTTTCCTTCAATAAAGTTTGTGCGAGATGGGTTCCCAAACAACTCACGGAACAGCACAGATGTAACCGTTTGGACATCTGTAATCGCCTTTTGAACCAGTATCATGAGGAAGGTGACACTTTTTTGAGTTGCATTGTCACTGCTGATGAAACGTGGATCCACCACTATGAGCCAGAGAGCAAACGTCAGAGAGACCCCTCAAAGATGCTTTAAGAGGCCATCGTTTTGCTAGCCACCATGATTTGAAGGAGGTGGTGAATACATGGCTTGCCGCCCGGTTGAAAACATTTTTTTCTGAAGGCATACAAAAGTGCCCGGTTGAAAACATTTTTTTCTGAGGGCATACAAAAGCTTGTGCGACGCTGGACCAAGTGTGTTGAAAAGCAGGGGAACTATGCTGAAAAATTATACACTTATGAATTCTGTATTGCTGTTGTGTTAATTTTAATAAATTCATTGCAGATACTTTTTGACTTACCCTCGTAAGTTAATTTAGAAGTTGCTGTTCTTTAAGTCAACCATGCAAGACAGAATGTTCATATTGTGAGAGATTTGCCATTTGTAACTTCCTTGTTTCTGTAAAAAACAGACATGGGACAGCTGTGAAAAACGAATAAAGGAATTGGAAAACAGGCTGCGACAGCTTAAGGCAAAAATAAAAGATCCACTTCCAGATGAGGATGAAGAGCTCCACAAAGCCAAGGAACATATTAAGGTATTGAAATTGAAAGTGCATTTTGTTTAAAAAAAAAACAAACATTCTTTATACACTAGTTGAGCATCTAGAAGACTAGTTTTCTCTCTCTCTCTCTTGCTCCTCCATGCAACTGAGTTCTTCTATGCTACTGGTAAATTGCCTTCACCCTTTCCCCATGTCTGATGTAACACCCTAATGTCTACCAGTGCTGGAGATTTTTGAAACTTGAAATCTATGTGACCTCAAGAATTTTTCTGTTGGCAGGACATTTATTGTTATGCTGTTGATGAGACAGAAATTTGTCACTTCCCCTGCCCCTCCAAACAAACAAACAAAAATTTAAACCCAGGTACAATAAAATAAGAAGCTAAAATTCCCTTCTCCCCATCTGTCACTGCACCTCACTCCCTTTGATGTGGTTGGATGTCTTTTTTTGTTGTGTTATCAGTCTATTATAGACTGTAAAATTTTCCAGGCAGGGGCCTTATTTTGTCTACAAAGCAACTTGCACGCCTGTGGCATGCTAAAAATAATAGAGCGAAGGAAAGGAGAGCCAGAGTGGAGCAGCAGCAGGTTAGCATTGAAAGCCTTGGCTGCCAGGATCGTACCATGAAAATTAAATGGCATGGGAAGTATTTCCAGTGCATGACTCATTTTGGCAACTTTGCATTTGGCCACATAGCATTGTGCTTTATCGCCTTGTTTATGAACTGAATTGCTTGGCCTTTATGGAAATGAGTTTGCTGATGTCAGACGACTTTGGATTGCTACCAACTCCCTGAGATCTTTGTGATAGCTGGCTAAGGCTTCTTTTCATACGCAGGAATAATCTGCATCTGAACACTTGTGTTCACGTTAAAATCGCCTACATTCTGTCTGCATAAAGCTACCACCAATGATAATACCAATAGTAGCGCTTTGGCAATGGAGAACAAACTGTGTCAGTGTAGACGCAGCCCTCGGATATAAGAGAAAGCATAAACGACTGAATAAGAACACAAGAATGGCCATACTGGATCAGACCCAGGGTCCATCTAGCTCAGTATCCTGTTTTCTGACAGTGGCCAATGCCCCAGAGGAAGTGAACAGAACAGGTAATCATCAGTTCCGTACATACAAGATGGGAAGCGACTGTCTAGGAAGGAGCATGGCGGAAAGGGATCTAGGGGTCATAGTGGACCACAAGTTGAATATGAGTCGTCAGTGTGATGCTGTTGCAAAAAAAGCAAATATGATTCTAGGTTGTATCAACAGGTGTGTTGTAAGCAAAACTCGTGAAGTCATTCTGCCGCTCTACTCTGCACTAGTTAGGCCTCAGCTGGAGTACTGTGTCCAGTTCTGGGCACCACATTTCAAGAAAGATGTGGAGAAATTGGAAAGGGGACAGAGAAGAGCGACAAGAATGATTAAAGGCCTAGAGAACATGACCTATGAAGCCAGGCTTCATGAACTGGGCTTGTTTAGTTTGGAAAAAAGAAGATTAAGGGGGGACATGATAGCGGTTTTCAAATATCTAAAAGGGTGTCACAAGGAAGAAGGAGAAAATTTGTTCCTCTTGGTTACTGAGGACAGGACAAGGAGTAATGGGCTTAAAGTGCAGCAGGGGAGGTTTAGATTGGACATTAGGAAAAAATTCCTAACTGTCAGGGTGGTCAAATATTGGAATAAATTGCCAAGGGAGGTGGTGGAATCTCCCTCTCTGGAGATATTTAAGAACAGGTTAGATAGACATCTGTCAGGGATGGTGTAGACAGAGCTTGGTCCTGCCTTGAGGGCAGAGGGCTGGACTCGATGACCTCTCGAGGTCCCTTCCAGTCCTATTATTCTATGAGTATGATTCTAAGTGATCTCTGCCTTGTCACCCATTCCCAGCTTCTGACAAAGAGAGGCTAGCAACATCATTGCTCCCATCCTGGCTAATAAAAATTGATGGACCTACCCTCCAGGAATTTAACTTGTTCTTTTTTGAACACTGTTATAGAGTTGGTCTTCATAACATCATCTGGCAAAGAGTTCCACAGGTTGACTGTGTGCTGTGTGAAGAAAAACTTCCTTATGTTTGTTTTAAACCTGCTGCCTATTAATTTCATTTGGTGGCCCCTAGTTCTTATGTGATGGGAACAAGTAAATAACTTTGCTTATTCACTTTTCCCACACAGTCATGATTTTATAGACCTCTATCATATCCCCCCTCCGTCTCCTTTTTTCTAAGCTGATTTAATCTCTCTTCATATGGCATCCATTTCAAACCCCTAATCATTTGTTAAATGATGTTAGATTATAAGACCCCAGTTTCTTCATTTGAGATTTCTTTTTGTGCCTAGAGCGCTGGGTTGGGACTCTCACAAGAGACTTGGGTTCTATTCTTGTACCTGCCCCAGGCATGTTAGGTGACCTTGGGCAAATCATTTCCGGCCCTATGCCTCGGTTTCTCCATCTGTTAAAAAAAAAAATAGGGATAATGTTTAGGGATGTGAAAGATTAACTGGAAAGTATCACCCTTAACAGGTGATGCTTACTGGTTCCGGTTAGCCAGCGGGGGCTGGAGCAGCTCCCCATCTGCCGTAGGCAAGGGGCTGCTCCAACCCCACAGGGCCTGCTGCAGACAGTGACTGCTTTGGATGGCCAGAGCAGCCCCTACCTGTGAAGGTGGGGAGCACTCCAGCCCACCATAATATTCTTAAGGAAGAATTTGTTGTGAACGGGAGGAATTGTTTTCAGTTAAACAATCAGCTCTTTATTTTAATGGATTCTTTTTTCAGTGTTTCCTTTGCCAGCTGAATGGTGAGTCAGTACCCTGTCAATTTTTTTCTGTCCTGTGTAGAACACTGATTTTTCTCCACTGCAGGTGTTATGTGCAGTTCAGTGAGAACTTTAATGCAAAACACTTATTAAAAGCCATCAGGAAAGATTATCTCCTTGTAGCTATAAAGAAATGGGTCTGGGTTTTTAAAAAAAAATTGAATTGCTTAGAACTTTCAAACGTTTAAGGAGGAGTTACTATCAGACGAAGTGGCTGGAACTATAAAAGCGTGCCTCAGTGGATGGAAACTGATTTTAATTCCCGAGTGTTAAAAACAAACAAACAACCTGGAATACAAAGTAGATGTAGCAAAGAAAAAACATTCTGGCAAACATCAAAGCAAGCAAAAGATAAAAGATTATAGTACATCTTTCAATTGGACCCTGTTTACAAGCATATGACTGGGTACCTATTAACACTTCAAAACACATGGGTTGCCAGGCATCCAATTTTCAACCCAGAATGCCCAATCCAAAAGGGTCCTGGGAGGCTCCAATCAGCATCACTGATTGAACTGTTAAAAGTCCAATTGGTGGCACAGCTGGGCTAAGGCAGGCCTCCCAGAAGCAGCCAGCATTTCCAGCTCCTAAACACAGGGGCAGTTGGCCAGGGAGGCTCTCCACACTGACCTTGCCCTAAGAGACAGCCCTGTAGCTCCCACAGGATGGGTACCAATGGGAGCTGTGGGGGCAGCACTTGTGGGCATGGTCAGCATGCAGAACTCCCTGCTCCCTGTGCCTAAGGGTGCGTCTACACTGTAGGGCTTAACTCGAAATAAGTTACACAAATTGAGCTATATCTATTGTGTATCTTATTTCAGAGTAGCTTATTTTGAAATAAGGCGCATCTACACAGCCCTTATTTCAAAACAGAGCACTCTTCCTCTGACTTGCCTCATTCCTTGTACAATGAGGGTTACAGGAGTCAGAGTAAGAAGTCCTCCAGCTTGACAGTATTTTGACATTATTTCAATATAACTGTCTGCTGTGTAGATGTGGCCTAAGTTATTCTGGAATAGTGCTAGTTATTTCGAAAGA